GTTTGTATCTATGGTTCAATAACAATGGGTTCCTTTGAATTTGATGCTCCCAGTGAATAAAGTTGTGAAATTTATCACCAAAGACAACCAACATATGTTCCCTACTATTAACCAAAACTGAACTCGTCCTTATTATTCACCATGACAACTAACAAAGAACGTGAAATTAAAATCAAGAGGCACAATGGAAGAGAAACGATTTCTGATTGTGTAGCATCTTGCTTTTGTTCGGAAAGTATTCTAATATATCCCAGTTAGAAAATAACTATTCTAGCCACCCTTTTATTTTTCTCACTGCCCCACTTATTTTTTTTTTCGTAGTAGTTACTAGTTTCTAGTAATTCAATGTAGTTTCTTGTAATTCATATTACACATAATACTGATTCATTAAGGGTTATTGTTTTTTAACCACATTTCGACTTTGAGAAAAAAAAAAAAGAATCAAATTTATGATGGGGCATATAAGAATTTTTGTAAGAGTTGTGGGGTATAATAGAACAAAGTCCCTTTTGTTTGAAGTTTCATGGCTTCAAATAAACATCCGTTCTATTTGCCATTCTTCTCTCTGACAATGATCTCCTCGTTTATTGTTTCTAGGTTTTGTGAAAAACATACATTTAAAGTGCTTTGTATTATAGGCTTGTGATGTGCTGTGATTTATATAGAATTGAACATTATTCTTCTTATGCAAGAAATTATATATATATATACCGATACTATTAAAACATTTAAAAAAAAAATTTAGATCCCTTTTGTATGTTTTATTAGTTACAAAGTGCCATTGACATTTGCTTTAATACTCCTTATGAAAGTACCTTAAAGGTAAAGAACCATTGATCAGTTTGTTTAACTCTCATATATATATATATATACCGATACTATTAAAACATTTTAAAAAAAATTTAGATCCCTTTTGTATGTTTTATTAGTTACAAAAGTGCCATTGACATTTGCTTTAACACTCCTAGGCCTAGGCATTTTACCCGGACCCGATACCGACCCGAAAAAACCCGGTCCGGGTAGGAACCGACCCGATCAAATTACCCTATCGGGTCTTGTTGGGGAGAACCCGCGGGTCTTGGACCCGACGGACCGAACCCGAAACCCGATGGGTACCCGAATTAATAGTGTAAATTAAATAAAATGCATTGAGGTGGAGTCGAAGACGGGTTGTTTCTATAGAGAGTAAGGGGGTCAACCACTAGGAGACAACGAATTGTTGTTGTATCTCGCATAGTTTAATATATATACACATTTTAATATAATAAAAACACAAATTTTGAATAANTAGAGAGTAAGGGGGTCAACCACTAGGAGACAACGAATTGTTGTTGTATCTCGCATAGTTTAATATATATACACATTTTAATATAATAAAAACACAAATTTTGAATAAAATTTTGAATATTTTCGGATATATAAGTATTTTCAGATTTTTTTTTATATATTTAGGTATTTTTTAGGTCGAACCCGAACCGAACCCGACCTGAAACCGAACCGAATCCGAACCGATAAATTCTAATTACCCGAATGGGTCCAACTATCTAAGACCCGACCCGACCCGGACCCGGTACGACCCGAACCGAACCGAAACCGAAAATTGGAAATTACCCTATCGGGTCCTAAACTCCTAGACCCGAAAGACCCGGACCCGAAAGGACCCGACCCGAACCCGATCCGACTACCCGAATGCCCAGGCCTAAACACTCCTTACGAAAGTACCTTAAAGGTAAAGAACCATTGATCAGTTTGTTTAATTCTCATGACTTTTATTCACAATAATGCATTTTTTCATATAGTTGATGTATATGAATGATTTGGGTGAGAAGTGAAGTGAATTTATAAAGGACAGTGAAAATAGTACTTACTTACACAGTTACACCCCATCTCGTCATTAAACGAAACCAAACGCCTCTGTGGTTTAGAGATGAAAACAAATGTAAATCTTAAAAGCTCGAGAAACTTTGGTGATCTCTTCCCTCTCTTTCCCTTTGGGCACTCTACTTTTTCGAAGAAAAAAAACTGAAATTAATAAAATGTGTTATAGCTTCGTGTAGAACTTGAGACAATAAAGGACAGGTAAGCAAAGCTTCTAGCCTTCAACTTGGAGAAGATATGTCAGGAAGTGGTAAAAGAAGATTGCACTGCTGTGACCATCTCAAACTTTATTACCAATCTTTAATGATCAAGATTCAATTAGTCTCACGGCCTATATTCTTGTTTCAGACAACTGTAAACTATTTTTCATCTATTTTCAGCTACAGTGTCTGGACAGAATCTGAGATTAGAGCCGTTAGAAACAGAGAAAAGATCAGCATTATGGAAGAGAGAAATGGAACTAATGTTAAGGTGATGGAGAGTAGACCTAGAGCAGATTAACTTATGACTCTCGAGTTTAAAAACGAACTAATTTAAAATGTCAAAATCACTTTTACAAACTCTAAGCAACTGACATGTCTTTGTTTTAACATCACAACAAGAGATTGATAGTCTATAGGCTTCTCTATGTGATCATCTGACGGAAACAGACTATTGTGTCCTACTTCTATATCTGTAAGTAATCCAAATCAACATGCTTTCTGGAACTAGATTCTAGTATTTAGTACCAACAAAATGTAAAAAAAAAAAAAAAAAGCTCGTGCGGCTCCATGATCAAAGAGCTACTCTTCGTCTTCTTCTTGTTGGAGTGCTTCAAACCCCACGTGGTCCGCCATATGTGCTCTGATGTTTTCAGAGAGTTTTGAGAGCGTGACCTCCCTTCCCTCCACGAAGTTCCACGGCAGTAGATCCACACCGGTCTTCCCCACAACCCTCTTCTCCAGTTTGTATCGTCTAAGCTTTCGGTAAATTTCTTCACCATGAATCCTCCTCACCTCTTCTATAAGATCGGTTTCCTCTAACTCATTCATCTCCATACTCCACTGTGCAGCGAGAACATTTGTGTGGTGTATCATCGTTAATTGGACTTGCTTCTTCCAAAGTTGATCCCGTAAGCAAAGGTAGCAAATCATCCCGCACTTAGAAGTGTCATTTTTTTCAATTCGTTGTTAGCACCATTGTCATTGATTGTGGAAGTGCCTTTTATGGAAATAAAGAAAACCATCAAAACCCATCTAAACTCAACAAAGACAACCATCAAAACTCAATAATTGATTGTAAACCTAAAGCAAACCTGAAACAACACTATCTTGTTCTCTAGAATCTCTTCTTCAAGAGGATATCTTAAATCATCATACTCCATCTGAAGCCAAACCATTTATTCAAAAACAATTAAAAAAAAACAAGATTCAGGTAAGCCCATCATAGCGATAGCGTGAACCACGCTAAAACAAACCAAGATACAAACGTTACACGTACCTCGATGCGTTTCTTACTAGTTGTAAGCCTCTGAATATCTTCCTGATCCACAATACTCTCTACTACAAAGGAGTCTATGATCGTCTTCATACCCTATTCCTCGATCTTCTTTACATCAAGTTCTTCTTTGATCTTCCTCAGTTCTTGCTTTTTTAAAAGCTCTTACGTTGTACCTCTTCCCCTATCAAATGGAGAAGATCCCGTCTTTCTTTATCTTTCTGGATAATCTCACTCAAGCTCGTCATCAGTGGCGGAACCACAAACATTTTGTATTGAAGTCAGATTTTTTTTCCAAAAACATAATTTATAAACCATCATAAAACTATAGATATACCCTATGATGTAAACATAATTTATAAACCATTAAAAATTATAAATATATTCTACGATCATTTATATTTTAAAACTATTTATCACAGTATTTAGCAAAAATAACTATTTATTACAGTTTCATTTACTACATTTTCAAATAGTTTTTCCTATAAAATAATTAAGACAACTATTTAGAAACTAATCACAAATGCGATTTTGCACTATTTTTTTACTATTTTCCTTCATGTGTGAAAAACTATCATCCGTTTGTAGATTTTTCTTTTCAGATTCAGAAAAACTGATCAATTAGTTTTCTGATTGATTTTAAGAAGTAATCTACTTCTAAATATATAATTACTTGTTAAAAGTATTCAAAGATTATGAACATAGATTAATCATAAATGTTTTATTGAATTGAATCAAGGAATTATAATTATTTATGGTCTAGTAAAATAGTATAAGCAAAAGAAAAGAATATACCAAAAAATAAAAAAGTAATCTATGATTTATCAAAAAATTACTTGTTGAGCATGAAAAACTCGCAGTCTGGTGTTTGTCCAAAAAAAAAAAAATACAATTCATCTATCTTTTTTCTAATTCGCTCATGTGTTTTTTCTAGTATTAATTATTTGGACTAATGTAATTTGGGTTTAATACAAATATGTAACTAAAATTAAAGATTAAAATGTTTTTTATATACCTAAAATCATATTGTTTCTATAATTAAAAATAGTTGTTATTATGTTTTGTTATTAATTGAGTAGAATCATATTATTGTAGGGTCAAATTTTATTTTCTAATGGTGTCAATAAAAAATTTAAATAAAAAATGAATATATTTCTATAATTAAAAATAGTTGTTATTATGTTTTGTTATTAATTGAGGAGAATCATATTATTGTAGGGTCAAATTTTATTTTCTAACGGTGTCAATAAAAAATTTAAATAAAAAATGAATATATTTTTTAAAAAATAGTGGGATCAAATGACCCCACTAATCATTCATCGTCTCCGCCCCTGCTCTTCGTCATCGTCGTCGTCATCGTCGTGTTGCTTGTTAATTGCTGCTGCTTTATTTCCGCCATGCTGAATAAAGTGGTGGTTAAACTTAATAGTTTATTGATGTTTTTATATGCAAATCGCTAATGGGCTCACTAAACTATTTTACGGGCCTAAATCATCTTCCAATCTTTCTTTTGCTCGGTTCCTCATCATGTACTGGGCTTTTAAAATGTTATCGATGCACTGATTGACTTGGTTATGTTAATGGGCCTTAATAAAGCCCATTAAAGATGGTCGTAAAACCTCTGAAGACGGAGAAATACAATTCCTAAATAAACCCTAAGAAGAAGAGAAATATCTGATTCGGAGAAGTTGAGCGAGATCGAGATGGGGAATGAGACGAAGAGCAACGGAGCTTCAAGCTTAGGAGGAGGAGGAGGAGGGTTTAGGGCAAAGATGGAGCATTATGTCTACAGTGGTGAAAAGAAGCACGTTTTGGCAGGGATCGGAATATTCACCGTCATCTTCGGCATCCCCTGGTATCTTATGAATCGAGGTCCGTTTTCTTAGATTGTGTTCACTGGGTTTGTGTTAACAAGTGATAATAACAAGGAAAGTCTAGATTTTTTTGCCAGAATTGTTTCATCTTGATATTGATGGTTAGATGGTAACATGTTGTGCGGTACTGACGATCTGATTTAGTGATAATAGGATAAGATTTAAGCTTCAAATTTATTGCCAAATGGATTGAAGTGACAACTAGATTGATTGAACAGATGTAGTTTGATAATATATCTGAGGATGAATGAGTGACAATGGTTTATGTAGTTTAGGATCATAGAACTGAAACTTGCGTGATCACAATCCTACCCTGTTTACTTGAGTGATCAGCAATAATTACATTTGTGTTAACTAGCAACAATTACTAGAAAAGTGGAGATTTTTTTTTCACAAAATGTTTCATTTTGATATCGATGGCTAGATGGTAGTTGGAGGAGGATGACGTTGTGCAGTAATGATGAACTCATAAGCTATGTTAGGTTAATGATTTTGATGATAACAGAATAAGCTTCGGACTTCAAATTTATTACCAAATGGAATCAACTAATTGAGTATTTTGATGATGTCTGTTGTCTGAGGATGAGTCACAATGTTGTTAGGATCGTAGACCTGCATCTGCTTGATCACATAGATTTCAACAGTTGGCTATGTATGTGTTTTTGGGCTTAACCCTTTTGTTGTATTCTTGTTTCTGTTAGGATCAAACAAGCATCGGTCTCACCAAGATTACATGGAAAAGGCTGATAAAGCTCGAAAAGCTCGTCTCTCTTCATCTCCATCTTCATCTTCATCTTCTGACAAGTAGAGATTCTAGTCAGATACATGCCGGTGAAATGATCCATTAATTGTTTTCCATGTCCATTACAAACATAACTCAGTAATGTCTGAGCCAGTGTGGTTTTATTTAGTTCAGATACCGTATCATTTCAATGTACCAAAGTTTCTGTATCGAATAAATCAAAGTTTTTCTGAAAACATACAGTGAGAATGGTTCCAAGTTAAATCTTCATTCTTTCCATCTTGTGAAGGTCACAAATGATTAATAAAAGTAACACAGGCAGTCATGTCCTCGCCAAAGGCAAGAGCCTTCTGAGTTGGTTTGGTTATTACCGGTTTAACTTTGGTTTTAGACTGAGATTTACTGGTTTACTTTGGTTGTAGACTCAAATTTACTAATTCACATTGGTTTTAGACTTAAATTAATTGATTTACTTTGGTTTTAGACTCAAATTTACTGGTGTGAACACTTAACTTCCATAATCCTAAATTCCTAATAGTATTATTAACCACTCAAATTAATCAAGCAAATGTTTCATGACCAATTCTGGATGACGTAAGCCGACGAGAATCTAAATATCCTCCGCGACCCGACCCGGACCGGTATATTTTATCGACCGACCCGTTAACCTGTTCAGTTTCCTCTCACCTCCAACCTTTCGCGGATTTTTTTTCTCCTGCTAATGAAAAATTCGATCCGTTAAAAGCTAAATCCTTTAACGAGTTCCGATTAGCAGATCTAAGTCCTTAAATCTTTGTACCCGATTCTCATTTTGGATATTGAACCTATTGCAATAATTGGAGAGGTCGATCAAAGCTTTGGACTTTGTTAGGGTTCATCCTCAAGGTAATCAATTTCACCTTTTTTGATTATTTTTCTTCAATAATCTTAAATGGGTTATGAGATTTTAATCAGCTTTCGTCAAATTATCTATCTTTCGATGATCTCAACACCCAAAATCGTAACTTTATTGTCGCTGAGTTATGAGGTTTTCTGGTGATCATTTTTTTTTTCATTCTCTTATGATGTTGCGTTGATAAAGCCTTAAAATTTTATGAGTTTATTAAGACAGAGAGAGAGTTGTAAGTATTGTCTGATTTTCTGATATACATTTGTTTTTAAAGGGTTTTATGAGCTCTTAAAAAAGCTATGGGAATGGCGTCTATGAACTCTACTGGTGAAAGCAGTCTTCGAATTTGCGTGTTTGACTTGAGGAGAGGCCAAAACGAAGGACAGGAGCTTGACAAGATCTTGTTCTTTTATCCTCCTGATGTATCCTTCTCCACTCAGCTCTCTGTTATCGGCCTCAGCGAAGGGCTTATCACCTTTACAAGGTCAGCTTCTTTGCAGATAAGATCCTTCATTGGTTTCTCTCACTAGGCAGATCATGAGAATTGAAACATGGTTTATGGAATTTAAAAATGCAGACTTTTCTCCCCAGAGGCAGCTTGTGAGGTAATAGAAGCAGAGAGACATTCTCATGTTTTCCATGAAGCAGAGCCTGATATATGGATGGTCATGGTACATCAATCTCAACTAACTATGTTACTTGTTTGAATCTCTCATTGTTCATATGCATAAGGAGAGCCAAAATTTTGATCAGGTTGTAGAGAAAAATAAGGAGATTGAAGCAATATGGAGAGTTGGTGCATTGCAGAAGGTTCTAAAGGAAGTTCATTCACTCTTTGTTATGTTTCACGGATCAGTTAGGTCTTTGCTTGATAAAGAACCATCTGGAGGGCTTATACGATCTCACTTGTATCCTTTCATCACAGACTATTTAAATGGTAAGCACACAATATCACCACCAATTTTAGAACAGAAAAATCTGTGTGTCATAGCTCTTATCAAAAGGGTTCTTATTGTGTGTGTCAGATCTTTCTGTTGGGAAGAAACTTCAGTTACCTTCCTTTCGTGAAACTTTGAAAGAGCGTGGTACAGTTCAGATGCTAACTTTAGCAAGAGATGCGGCACTTGAAGTTCAGGTTTGTATCTTCAATAGAAAATGCAGAACAGACTTAATACTTCATTTATTGACCTGTGTTTTTTTACATTCTACAGTCTCTTGTCGGAGTGCTAGATTCTTGTGCTGGGACTGTTCGATGCCATTCTGTGATTCTATTTCATGACCTACTTGTGTCAACCACTCTCTCACCTGTATGTTTCCTTAAGTCTCAATATTCTTACTCAAGCTTGTTGTGTCTTGATATTTTCTCTTTTGTCAGGATGATACGGTCGACTTGTTTACATTTTCAGTCATGAGATTGACCTCAAACGCGTTATCTTCTGGCACGAGTTCATGGTCATATCTACGCAAGGGATCTAGTTTATCACAAACCTCTTCAAGATCTACCTCAGCGCAACTTCTTGGTTCAAGTGTACCATTGCCTTCACGAAATGGTAACGACGCAGGTCGTGTTATTAGGCCATTACAGCACAATAAGTGGTCAAAAGGGAAAGACGGGTTTCTTATAACCGATATCTGGGGTAAAGATGTCACACCAACGATCTGGCTACAGCTGACACAAGAAAGAGTTCACCTTGTAGTCTATCAACACAAATGTCTCACCTTGGTTCTTCTGGTGCCTACCGAGGCCATTGTTAATGGAGAGCTAGACATCTCATTCGTGAAGCATCAAGTTATTGAAAACGTTAGCTTCCCTCTCTAAAACTATCTTGTTTCACTGTAAAGTCTTTTCCGGGCTCCATCTCTTATCATTTATATGTATTTGTTCAGGCATCTGCTAAAATCTTGAAGGTGGAAGAGAAGCTATCAAAAGGATGGGGCGGTGAGAACGCTTATCATGTAAGCGGTTACCGTTACTTGCTAGTTGATAATGACATGGAAGTTTCCAGAGCTTCTCCATCAGGAAAAGTAGCAACTCTAGCAAAGGTAAGATAGAACTCCCATCTATCATATTTTGCTATTACGTGACCAAAAGAGTAGCAAACTCACAAAAAGTCTATTGGCTGTTGGTAGGAGACGTTACTTGCAGTAAACAAGCTAAGGGAAACAGTGGATACAGAAAAGAGCCGCACGAAGCAAGAGAAAGACATGGAGATATGCATAAGAGCAAAGAACAACGCATGGGCTATCGCTCGTATAACCAGAGGTAAAGAGCTATACATGGCTTTAGAGAAAGCAAGTGACACTCTTCTTGATGCTACAGACTCTGTTCAAAGTTTCAGCAACAGGTAATAATAATACTTTTTTCTTTAGTTGTTAAAACTAAATCCACCAGAACTGAGTTAGCAAAAGTAATGTTTATGTTTTGTGTATCCATCTCTTCAGGTACTGCAACGGAACATTCTCAATGGATTAAAACTCTGTAATCTTTTTGAAGCATATTGAGATGATTTCATTAAGCTTAACGTTGAGATTTACATAATGAAGGAGAAAATACTTTTATTTACATTTTTTAAGTACCATTCGCGAGACAGTTTGTATTTACATCGTTAGTTACATCCGTCTCTATGTTGTTATTTATATGCACTCGAATCATTACTTCTTTAAGCGTAGGGATTGATGTGAGAGGAGTAGTCTCTGGTTCCTGCACCTTCCCATCCCATCCATTCTTCCCACGTGTCACAATCTGGATCATTCATTCCGTTGAATCCCTCTTCATACACATCGAATGGCTCAAATTCCTCCGTTCCCTCCATCTGATTCTTTATTTGCTTCAACACAATCTTCAAAACACAAAAGAAGATTAATACCATGACTTGACTTTTAACAGCATGTTTTTCATAAAGACACAACACTTACATCGTACGCTTCGTTGATTGTCTGAAACTGCACTCCGCAGTTGCTTCCTCTACAAACATCAGGATGATACTACAACACAACAACAAAAGATGTCAACTTTTAAGAAACCCAGATACCAAAATCCATGAAAAATCGAATCTTTTTAGAACAAAGTCGAAACCTTTTTGGCGAGTTGTCTGAAAGCTTGCTTGACCTCGTATTCTGACGAATCGGGTCTGATCTTAAGTGTCTTATACGGATCCATCACAGAAGATGAAGAACAGACGATTCCTGCTCTGTTAAGCATCTTCGTGTTCTTTCTTCTGCTGTTCTTTAACCGAAACGATGAAGAAGATGATGAAAACGAAGATCCGGATAGACCCGAGAACCCGTTTCCTCCGATTGTTAAAGCAATAGTCATTTTTTTTTCGAATTTCCAACACAGAAAAACGTATAGAAAAACAGATTCTTTTTTTTTTCTGGTGATTAAAGTAAAATAGAGAGGTACAATAATTTGATTTGTTGATTGGGTAAGGAGGGAGAGAGTGAGAGGCGGGATCATATATTTATATACAGACAACAGAGAAACGGTGACTTTTTGTTTGTTATCTAAAAGTGTCCTTATCCATAACGCTACCTATTTACAAGTGTTTTTGTTTTACTATTCTTTTATTTTATTTTTTTTGTTAAGCAACTATTCTTTTGTTATAAAGAGATAAATAAAGAAAAACTTTTGTTATCTTTTTTTTTGTGCAACTTTTGTTATCTATTCTTACTTTATTTTTGTTATTTTTATGTTTACAAATTCTATTTTATTTTTCTAAATAAAGAAAAACCATTTAGCTGTTGTGACACTGGGGGTTTGAGATCTGGTGTGGGCTAACAAAAAAAAATGTGAAAGATAAGGGAGATGTGTGGTGTTGATAGGTTGGTGGTGGTATTTTAAGATGGAAGTAAGTTCATTTCTGTTTTCTTTACTAACCATGTTTTAGAAACTGTGGGTAGACAGACTAAAACCACTACCTGTTTTATTATTTCTATTTTCTTTTTAAAAATGATGAGACCGACATTTTTTAAAAAAGGACTGATGTTTCTTATCCGAAGAACAAATGTACAAGATTCCTTCATATTTTCTCATGTATAATTTAATACTTTCACGATTCAATATTTTTTCATGATTCTCATCATGACACGCAAACATATATTTTTGTGGATCACATTAAGTTAGATGATTGATTGTATTAAACGTTCTGATAGGCTACAACTTACAAAAGTAGCAAAGGCAAACCAGTTTAAACAAGAAGTAACTAAGGCAAGAATGACACTGAGTTCACAGATGATTGATTGTATCAAGCGTTCTGCTAGGTTACAACTTACAAAAGGAGCAAAGGCGAACTAGTTTAAACAGGAAGGAACTAAGAATGACACTGAGTTCACATATGCTTTCGAAAAACCAAAACAACCAGCTGGGAGAACCGGCAGCTACATATGATGATGCATGCATCAACCTTATGCAAGAACCGAATCCAGAGGATTTGTTCATTGAGGTCTCATGTAAAATTCAAGTTGAATAACCAGAGAACAACATTTGAAAATCTGAAGAAACTTCGGTAGAAATGACACACACAGCCTCTCTCTCAAGATCTTCTTCGTCGCTTCCTCTTCTCTCTGTCGCTTTCATCCGAACTAGAAGAAGAAGAAGATGAATCAGACTCGGAATCAGAACTGTCGGATCCAGACGATGATCCTGATTCTGACTCTGCAACTTGCTTCTGTTGTTGCATGATGAGGCGTGGCATGTTCTTCAGATACTCCCTGAGACTCTCTGTGATGCCTCCAAGACCGATGGAGGTAAAGAAGTTGATTGCAAATCTCGTGTTCTTTGGATTATCTTTAGGGAAGATGGATTCTAGTGATTCCTGCATTGTTGGATCCTGAAGCCTCTCATTAAGCAGCCTAATCCCCAGGTGTTCTGACAATTCCTGCAACCGATCAAAGTAGTAACCATATCAACACAACAGTCCTTTCCTACAAACAAAGTTCTCTAGCAGAGTCCAATCAAACAAAGGAATAAACACATGGCCCAACTCTAATCAGACAAATGAGAGAAACAACTATAAAACATATCCATAATTTCAGACCGTTAACTACTTAAATCATATGAAACAAAGGAATGAATCAATCAGATGAACCAACTCCAACCAAACAAATGAGATAAACAGCACTGAACTCGTAAAATGAGCTACTTAAAATGCGTTTTGATCAAGTTACCTGGAAAAGGATCTTAATGAAGATACGCGAAGATGAAGTAGTGTCCTCCTCTGTTAACCGAATGTAGGCAAGCACATGCCATGGGAGAGCATCTGTACCCAGTAAATGGGCAAAAAACTTAGCTACATTACGCAGCTTGTTCGTCTCAAGACGGTGTATCATAGAGTACTGCTGAACGAAACACTTCTCAAAATTCTCTTGGTGAATTTTGTTGATCATACAGAAACGCTGACCCAACAAACCGTAGTAGCGCAGATATGTTCTCTCCTGAGAGCAACATTCCAGGAGCATTATGCATAGTTCCATCTGCAACAATGAATTAGATAAAGAACGTTGTGAGCCTTATGTACATTCAGCAAATCACAAACTTTAATATGGACAGATTAAAACATCAAAAATCAAAGCAGAGAAAAACAGAAAGCAGCATAGAGTTACCTCTTGACCTGGTTCAAGTTTAATTTTAAGTAACTTGTGACCTGCTTCCTCAAAATCGACGCTGGACATAATGGTCAGGTATATTGTCCTTCTAAGATTAACAAGATTAGTCTCTGTCTCGTCTCTAATTCTCATTTGTTCTTCATCTTCTTCGTCAGACTCATCTTCCTCCTCATCATTGTCATCTGAACTAGCATCAGAGCCATCTTCATCCTCAGACTCATCCTCACCAAGTAACTCCTTCTTTAGCGCCTCGTACTTCTTTTCGTTCTCAAGGAAGTCAGGATCAGGTTTGAAAACATCTGCAAACAGAACAGTGAGAGAGAATTTTAAAACTAAAACCTTGTTTCACGAATACTAAAAACTAACCCATATCTCTAAAACCATGGGATAAACATTAACTAACAAGCTTACCCAGTGAGGTTTCAGGAACTATTTCATCATTAAGAGATACATCGTGCGAATATTTTTCTTCCACAAGATCAAGCTCAGGACGAACAGCTGGATGTCCCTGAAAGCAAATCATTCACACAAATTTATGAGCATTGTGAAAACAAAGCATGGTGTCATCTCTGCTACAACCCATAATATCAGAATAAAATTCAATCAAGTTATGTCTAAAGTATATTACCTGAAACTTCGCTTTCCTAATAGCAAAAAGCCCTTCAATCAAATATTGAACTCTCTTATCAATATCTCCCTCGTGCAGGATACCACGAAACCGTTCAAAAATTCCTGTATAAACAAGTGGAAGACTAGTAATAAGAACATGCAAAGCCATGAAAAAACGGTTTAACGTGTGAAGTGAATCACTTAAACACACTAACAAGAGATGAACCGGATTACTATATCAAGCATATACCAATAATTATCGACTTGTAATTTGATGGATTAACTAGAAATACAAGTAGTCTAATGTTTCTCAATATAACAAACCAGATCTCTCACCAACATAAAGAAAGGTTGAAATGATAGTTACCATGCAATCCTTTTGGTGTAACGTCCTGGAGCATGGCACCACACTCTGTCACGAACCCAACAGCCACCTCGACACTGTCATCAGTCGGGGTTTCCAGAAGCACAGAGACTAGTTCAAGGGCAATGATCTCCTCAGCGACTTGCTGGTTTACTAAATGTGCTATAAATTTCACAGCAGCTAGCAGTTGAGGCTGGCAAAACAAAATGAAACACATAAATGCATAAACATGGCTGTCTTCAAGATTGGGAAAGCAGAAAAAAAGACAAACCTTGTCGTTACGCTTATACGCTCTCTTTAGCTGCAAAACGACCCTTTTCAATAGAAGTTCAGCAACTTCAGGGAACTTGGCGTTGATAACAGCTACTAAAGCTGCAAAGACATCAGTGAATCCAGGAGATGCCATTTGAGACTTCATACAAGAACGGCAGAAAAGTCCCCTTCCTCTAATGAGATTTTCAGCAAACAGTTCAGGGATTATATTCTTGATGTTGCTTGCATTGACCTTATTCACCAGCCCGTTAATACTTTTACGAAGAGCATCCCATGTAAGACGTTGATACTCTACACTGCTCTTGTCATCCACCTCCTTCATCATGCGTGCTAGCTTGAACGGAGGAATATAAACTCCACCAGTTTTCCCCAAAGCGACAGCATTGCTATCAGATGGATTGAGTTCTGGTAACTTGGGCTTTGCAACTTCACTCTTCTCTTCCCTTTTGCTGCTCTCTTCCTTTCTCAGCTTGTCTCTTTGACTATCCTCATATCTATGACCGTGTCGTCTCTCGTTTTCATCTCTACCTCCATAGTCCCTCCGATGCCTATCAGACGAGTCTCTCTCCCTCCGATCCCTCTTTAAGAGACCTTCACTTCCTTTATCAGTCTTCTCTCTTCTGCTACTCTTAATCTCACCTTCCTCAGATGCTTGACGATCTCTAGGTTTCCTCTCGCTTTCTTTCCCACCTCTCCTGCTAGTTTTCCTATCATCATCATCGTCTTCATCAGAAGGCTTATCAGCTATGACTCTACTACCCCTATACCCACTCTCTCTATCACGCCTCTCCCTCCCTTTAGGACTACTTCTCTTCCTTCCTCTCCTTTCATAATCATTCTCCAAACCTCTGCGAGTATCCTTCGCAACATGCTTCTCTTCTTCTTCATCAGAAGAAGTGTCTGCTCTAACTCTACCCTTACTTACCCTCCTCTCACCATCATCTCTGTCTCTTCCTTTATCATCATCAGAATCCAAGTCAACTTCTTTCCGATCTTTTCTCGACCGCCTCGCCGATCCTTCCTCATCAGAAGAGGTATCTGCTCTCACCTTATCCCCACGGCTTCTCTCTCTTCCTTTCTCCAGATCTCTTCGCGAGTTCTTATGGTCGTCATCATCATCAGAACGCCTGACATCTCTTCTTCTCCTATCACTTCTTCTCACTCTCTCCTCTTCCTCGGATGAACTATCGTGTCTACCCATAGGATGCAACCCAACAGAGAATTAGAGATAAAGTTCCAACCTTTACCGATTACAACAGAAAACTCTTATCTATCCAAAGATTATAAATCTCTAGTAAGAACCCTACTGAGGTTGTCGCCAAGATCTGAATCGCCGACCTAAAGTGGTAGACGGGGGAAACAAAGATATTTTAGGTTTCGTTTTTTGTCTGAGAGGTACAACGCCGTTTAGACGGCACGATTTCCTATTCTCGATTCCTGAAACGGTAATGTGTGTAGATTAAACTTTATTTGGGTGGTCGGGTACTAACAATGAATTATAAGCCTAATGGGTCAAGGCCCAATTTGAGATGACGGTTTTTCAATAGAAATTTACGTTATAGACTTGAGCCCATTAATAAATTATTCGTGTAGTAGTAGGTTACCGAATATCTGTAAAAATTACAATAAGACGCACATCCCAAGAAAATCACTAACTTCAAGAAAGATGCCTTCGTTCGTGGCATATGCTCTTTGCAACTTCCAAAAATAATTCGATTCTCATGCTAAAAAAATATGTTCACACACGAAAATGTAGTATTCTTTTTATCATTTACTCAATATTATGTAAAAAAACAAAAGTGTTGCTAATATTTTTTAGCTCAAAGATATGAAGTGGTGAATATAATTTACAAGAATCGGAAATAGTAAAAGAACAATAATCTGACAAAATCAAAGTACGAAATCTTTGAACAATTCTCAGCTGGTCATTTGACTATTGTATAAACAAAAAAAAAGTAATCAAATTTCATGTACTTTGTTTAGTCATTTGATTTATAGCAAGAATTGTGCCGGGAGGAGACTTTTGTGGATTAGACGTGTGATCATACACAATAAAACCTTTTAAAGATCGTTATAACGAAAAAAAAAAGATCTTTATAACATTATTTACTTCTCAATCATAACGTAAAGCAATAACTGTGAATATTCACGAGGATTATATGGTCGTACCTCTATTTGATTTATATAAAGTAAGTGATATGGAAAATTATATTCTGTTTTTTTTAACACTAAAACTTTTTATGTTTTTATTTTCATTTTTTTGGGGTTTAAAAGGATTTAGAAGGGTGCGGTGCATGAAAAACAAGCTTAAAGGGGAGAAGAGGGGAAAGGGTCCCGCACAAGTAAACGATCAGACAACTATTGTCCACATCTTATTTCATACCTCACTAAAAGAAAAAAAGAAAAAAAAAACATATATCACAAAGTCCGAAGAACAAAGCAAAAGCCTTTCCTAGTCGTAACCGAAACGCCAAACCATTACCGTTCAACTGAAACCTCTCTCTCTCTCTCTTGTACGCATCTTCTTTCAACTTCTCTTTCTCCAAACCGTGTGTCTGTTTCATTCTTGTCAAACATTTTTCAGATTAAAATGGAGAACAGAGCTGGATTTGAGGGAGGGAATACGAAGAAGAAGAAGAAAGAGACAGTTGGTGATGGATTTGTCGGAGGGTTTTTCCCTGTCTCTACCACCAAGATCGCGTGGAAGTCAAGAAAAAGATCAGGTTCTCCTCCTGTTTCTTGATTTTTTTTTTTCTCGGGATATTTTAATTTGGTTTGAAAGATTGAGAGCTTTTTAGCAGATTTACCACTCTATACTCTCTGTTACTTTAAAATCTCAGTAGCTTTTGTTACTCTAGTCTTCAATTTATCTCTCTGTTTTAAGCTTTTGATTTTTTGTCTGATCCGTTATATATGTGCCTTTGCAAGTCAAAACATTAACAACTTCGATCTGCAGCATCTGTGAACCCAGACAAGGCACCTGACGCTTCTATGGAAGTTACACCAGAGAAGGATGAGACAACAGCAATGGAAACAGAGAAAGTTGGGGAACCAATGACCACAACTCCTCCTGTTCTGTCCGAGAAAAGGAAAGCTCTGTTTGAGCCACTCGAACCCATTACAAACTTGAACGGAAAGCGACCAACAGATGCTGATTCCCTCTTACCACCGCCTGATTTCGAGTCTGCAAACTATCCTAAAGGGTGGTTGATCGGTAAGAAGAGGAAGCTGGTGAATGTTGATGTGGTTGAGAGCATGCGTAGAATCGCTGTCCAAGAAATGAACAGAAAGGTAAAAAAAAAAACACAATGCAGTTTTTTTGCTGTTTTGTTGGAAAATGTTTTGATTAAAAAGGATTGTGGGGACAGGATCGAGAGATAGATGGGTTAAACGAGCAGCTAGAAGAGGACTCACGTTGCTTAGAGCATCTGCAACTTCAGCTACTACAAGAGAGAAGCAAAAGAACAGAGATTGAAAGAGAGAACACAATGTTGAAAGAGCAAGTCGATATGCTTGTCAACATGATACAAGAAGAAGATGAAGAACAAGTACCAGAACAGCCCTAGCTAGTTTTTTTATCATATCTACTACGTTCCTGTCTACTTATAATAGCTATGCTCTGTTTTTTATTCGTTTGTCCATAAAGAAGGAGGTAAGAAGCTTTAACCACCATCTATTATCTGGTTAAGCTACTGTTGTATCCTCTTGTTAGAACAAATAAAGAAATCAAGAACACTATTACGTAAAGTACTCCGCAAGATTATAAGCCGGGCAATGATTTTCATTCAAGTTGCTTCAGCAGGAGAATGAGGCAACAAAAAATACAAAGTTCAGAAATGAGATATGAGCAATATACAGATAGATATGTTTTGTGTATATAACTAAAGTGGTGTTAAAACTGTTATATCCTTGTGTCCTATGAATAAATGAAATCTACGGACCACGAATTTTCGAGTGTCCATCATATTAGCTAGCTTTTGCAAAACAAACCTGCACCAACACGAAAGAGATTGCTTCAGATTTACAAGTCCATCCCACCCATCACAGCTTCTTTTCTGATTTTATTTGACTATAACACAAATACTGTAGTTAACAAAGACAATGAGAGAAAACTTTGAGTTGTGTTTCTTTTTTTTTATTATAAAATCACAGAGCCATTATTCAATCACAATCTTGGTTTTGTTTCTTGGTAATGACTACTACGTTACAGACACTGTCAAGCCAGTAAAAAAAATTCATTCTTCTTTCTGATGGAAAACACGGAGTTGTCTGAGATTACCATTGAGGGTCGCGTGATATATCCGTTTGTCTCCAAGTCCCAAATCCGATAGAATCAAGTTACCCTGCAAGCAACCAAGTGTGAGTAGAGTAAACAAGAACATACAAGCCAAAAGTATATACATGTCTCTCTCGTTTTTACTTACCTCGGTGGCCATTAATTTCCGGACATTGCTAGCATAGAGTTTGGGATTATCTTTCTCTTCTTGTGAAGGGTAGTATACAGGTAACCGTATCACCTCCAAATGGTTTACAAATTGACAGAGAAGGAAGAGAACGTGACGTGCCTAGAAGAAGAAAAACAGTAACAGTGGCTTTATTTTATAGGCGAAAGCTTCTGAGAAAACCGGGAGTTTTGTTATATAGAAATACTCACCCCGGAGATTGTATCCCACGCCACACTGAAACGCTCGTATGGATATTTTAAGATAACAGGAAGAACAGGAGTTCCAGCCAAAAATGCACCTGTCTTGAATTGAAGCAAGTAGTCTCCATTGGTAGTTGTTCCTTCTGCAGTGAGACCAAATCACAGTGTTAGGGAGAAAAGATGGTTTGATTGATAAATTAGTGTAAAGGAGCTATACTGAACCTGGAAAAAGCATAATGGTTGGAGCAGATTTATTCCTATGAGCTTCTCGAACTCTTTCATTTACTGTGCCTGTAAAGATACAAAAGAGCGGTTAATTACATAGTACCAGGACTATTTCGAGCTGGATAACAAGTAAGATGCCAAAGCATAGACTAGTTAAAGAAGCAAAAACAACATACCAGAGACACCCTTGAAATCAGGAGATTTAGCTTCTCGCTGAACAAAGACGCAACCAAGACATTTGCTGCCAGAAAAAGATAGTATAACAAAGTTTGAGATGATGATACAAACAAATAAAAGAAACAAGGACATTATTAAGAGTGATGAGATACAAAAGAGTGTTTAAAGAACTTAGAAAAAGTCATTCACAACTAACCTGATGAGGCCAACAAGAGGAAGTTTGCCCACTGATCTCTTCAGCATCAAAAATCAACAGAAAAATATATGTAACTATCTTTTCCAGAAAGAGTTACTTAAAAGGTGAACTTCAGAAAGTAATTTAACTATACAGCATAAATATATCTATCAACTAACCTTGGCCACAAAACTTGGGAAAGAAGCAGACATATGATACAAAATGTCAAGGTACGATACATGATTAGACACAATGACACCAGGTCTTTCAGGTTCCTCCTCATCAGTTTCGCCATTCTCTGCAATCTGTATCACATGGCAGAACAAATTAAGAGAAGAAAACAAACGCCAAGCCATCAGTGGGAACAAAACTTGAAGCAATTTCAGTAAAAAAGAGGTCCCCAGTAAGTTGTACAACAACCAAACTTCTCATCTGAGCCAAATCGCCGTACAGTCAGGAATCCTAACAATAAATACGTCTTCTTACAACTAAGTCTGACACTTTAAGGTTCCCTACCCACATCTACAAACCTACAACTTCTTCACACACACGTAATGAAACTTGGCTTATACCATCTTAATAACTTGTACAACAACCAAACCCTCTCCTAACAATAAATACCACAAAAAAACCATATCTACTGACACTTTAAAAGCTCCTTACCCACACCTACAAGTTCCTCCCACACTTAAAAACAACAAAACCTTAAAACTTATACCTCAGAAGAAGTGGTTTTAGGACTAGAATCCAGACATCTCTCAGAAATCCAATAAAACCCAAACACAAAAAGCACAACTCTCGATAGAAACCTCCCACACCGCACAATAACAACCCTCCTCCACCCTCCCATATGAGCATAATCCTCCTGAACAACCCCTCCTTCCTCCTCCTCCTCCTCCTCTCCTCCACGATACGGAGACGAGAACAACGTGAAAACCCTACACACCAAGTAATACAAAAGCAAGATACTCATCGCCAGAACAAACCGCACAGGAACAAGCGTCACCATCGCCACCGCGAGCTTAACCTTCTCCGCCGTCGGAAAAGGACCCAGACCCATTGTTCCGTACAAGTCCGTCCTCGCGAAAGGCGCGAACTTTTTGTCTAGCTCTTCAATGGCGGCCGCCACGTCGGATTCTGATTTGAGCAAGGGACGGTCCTCTTTGCTCGACGACGACGAAGACGGTGGATTATTCGAATTCATATCCTTTAGCTCTGATTCCATTATCGTCGTAAAAATCTGATCTTTACAAAAGGGTTTCGAGTTTCTGAATCAGTTCGTAGATTTGATCAGGTGAAAGGTTTCAGCTTTGGCGCACAGGTTTGATTCGATGCGTCGCCGTAAAAGGTAAACAATGAAAACGAGAATAAGGGGTTTTGGTTCGGTGGGACGAGGTGTATGGTAATACTTGATATTAGCCGTTAGATGGATAGGTGGATGCGATTAACGGACCACCACGATTGTGTGTGTTAGTTAATTCATGTTTGTTAAGGAAAACAGACTGATTTTTTTTTTCCAGGTGAGGTCAATGATATTTTTCCTTTTAGTTTTACTATCTTCTTCAAATAGTTATTTTATTTTGATTTAGATTGCTTGATGCATTCTTATCTTGCTAGGTAGTATTTATCTGAATAGATGTTACAACATATGATACAAAGTTATAAAATAGTATAAATAGAATAAAAGATATATTTATGATGATATACTCGCTGTAGAAATATAAAATTTTAGACACATATCACGCAAATAATTAGTTTAAATTATAGATGATACATTTTTTGAATTACAATTTCAATAGTTTTAAATCCCCTATATATTAATTGAGAAACATTTGAAAAATTGTAACTTTAATTTTGTAATAATTAAAAAAGAGCACATGCTTACGTGTCACTCAATTAGTTAGTCAATTACATTCAATTGAAAAATAAGTAGGTCCACATTCGATTTTTATATGTCGTTAAATATATTTGTTGGTCAAACTATATGATATGATATTTATGATAGAAACATTTATAATTGTCATGCTAGATATAATTACTATTTATTTTCTTTCCTTAAATAAAAGCTACGGAATTACCATAAATGACAAATATATATATGACAATTAATGTTTCTAATAATAAATATTTGATAACAATTTGTATCTCCTCAATCATTTCTCTTTAATTTTATATTATTAAAATAAATCAAACAATCAAATTAGCTATAAAATTAAACTTTAGATTTTTTTCGTATATGTTATATTTTGAATTAAAAAATCAAGAATAAATGACTAAAACTATTAAAATTATTATGTTAAAAATTAATGATCAATAGTTTAACATTTTTATTATAAAAAGATCCACATGATTTTAAAACCATATGAGTAAAAAGTATCATTCAATAATAAAAATATATATATATAGATTAAACTATATACCATATAAGATTACATACTTATTTTAATTTTAAAAATTTCAATGAATTTTCAAGAACATTTATAAATTGTAAACGTATTAAATTTTTCACATTGAAATTTTTTGTTATCAATGATTTAAATATATTAGTTCTTTTTTTAATTTTCTATTTTTTAAAGATATTAACACAATCGATAATATGGTTATTTTTTGTATATACCATACAAACCGAATGTATGTGATTTTATAAAAACCGTAAGATTTGGATATGGTTTGATTTATAATCGATTAAACTGAAACATGTAAATATGTATATCTATTTGTTACATGAGTTGAACTATAATTATGATTTGTAAATCACTTGAATCACTTGAAATATAATTAATTAACAATTTAATGCAACTGAGGCTTCTTATTTTCTTCGTCTTTTTTTATCTTTTTTTCTTTTTTTTTAATAAAAACTAAATTGAAGTAAAAATTATAAATTTAATGGACAACAACTAGTTAAAATTCTTTACAATTTTTTTTAATCTTTAAACAAACAGAGTTGTGCTAATTAACAATTTAATGCAACTGAGGCTTCTTATTTTCTTCGTCTTTTTTATCTTTTTTTCTTTTTTTTTAATAAAAACTAAATTGAAGTAAAAATTATAAATTTAATGGACAACAATTAGTTGAAATTCTTTACAATTTTTTTTAATCTTTAAACAAACAGAGTTGTGTTCAATCGAAGACATATTAATTTGATGAACACTAAATATGGAAGAATATAAAAACTTTTCTTTCATGCTTCTGTTTTGTTTTTATTTTTATTTTCAAAATTTAGAGATTTGATATTAATTCTAGTTTTGATCATTTTATTAGATCATAGAAGCCTTTTTTGTTTTTTATTTTTTTAGTTAAATATATAATATTTTTTTAGTAAATGACTTTTGACAATATGACTCTAAATATGATCATATTATTTATTTTTATAATATATAATATGATTTCAAACTAAATAATGATGTATTTTGGTATAAAATTGAATAAACTGAAAACCAATATATAAACCAAATCAAACTGAAGTAAATATGGATTTAGAATAGTAGTTATATTTTAATAACCAAAATACTGAAACCCGATATCC